AACTGCTAACCTTTCAAATAAAGCTAAGCACAAAAGTCCTACCAGAAAAATTAAAAGATCGCATCGAGAATTTCTTTCCTTGGTTCTTTATAAGTCATCGTCTCTATGGGCCTAAAGACTTCTTTCATCAGGCTTTAATACCGCATTGATTTAATCCTGTTACATCAAGATACCAGTTCATATACTCCAAAATGTCAAGCAAAAATTACCCCAACGGAAACACTTACTTGTAAAGACATGGACCCACTGTCTTTAGTTTTGCTCAGAAAACTGGAGATGGACAAATTCAAGTCAATACTGCTATTATCAGCAGTGGAACCAGTGCCTGAGTCAGTATCATTTTCCTTTTGATTCTCAGGTTCTGGTAGCATCGCAGTTTCTGTTTTGGATAAGGCCTCCACTTCTCCTTTATGGTCCGCATCTTCAGAGTTGATATTAATGCTGGGTATTGGAACTGGTTGAGGTTCATTGGGCTGTGATGCGGCAGTAACTTGTGGTTCTAATTTAATTGGCACTTCACCAGGAGTTTCCTTTTGCTTCGTATCTATCTGAGGGGCAGCTTTCTGAGCATCCTCAGTTTCACTTCCTATCGTCTCCTGGTCATTCTGAATTACTGCACTGTTGACTTCTGTCTCTTCAGTGCTTCTTGGCTCTGTAATTTCCACAACTTCATTTGCCCCTGGCTCCTCATTGGTCTCCAATACAGTCTTTGAACTGTTGGCTAATTGTTCCTTGTTCGGACCTTCTAATGATTGTTCATCTACCTTATTAGTTTCAACTGTTTCTCCCAGAGGCACCTCCTCAGCAGCAGAGACCTGGGGAAACGTCACTAGTTTCTCATCTACTTCAACCGCTTCATTACCATCATTTATCTGGCCATGCTCAATTTTTTTTTCAACTGTCTCCTGAGTTGAAACATCTACCACCTCATTAGTTGATACCACATTGCTTATCTCATCGATCACATCTTCTTGGTACGTTTTGTCATCTCTGCCCAGTTTCTCTTCCATATCTTCCTTTGTGAGTTTAACTTCATTGTCAACTGCTTGGTTATCTGCTTCTTTTTCACCAGTCTCTTGAGAAACTAAATCCATTGTCTGCATGGTGGTATCTTTAATTTCCTCAGGTTTCATAAGACGATTTTCAAATGTTGATGGCTTTTCCTGACCTCTCTCTTTCTCGGGTTTCAGATTATGTTCAATATTTGTTTCTAAAGGCATTGCATTCTTCTCTTTTTCTCCACTGGCTGAATTGATATCCACAGCTTCTTGGCCTTCTGTGTCAAGCCTGGGTCTCTTTTCCTCTCTCCCATCCTCCTCGATTAGTGTTGCTCTGCTTTGGAGTGCAGTCGGACCTTCTGGATGAGCATCATTAACATGTTCACAAATGTCCTCTACTGCTTTCTCAGGCTGATCAGTGGTGGGTTTTTCATCAAGTACTTTGCTACTAAATTTCTCTTCAGAAACATTTCGTTCTGTTTTTTCTGAGACAGATTCCAAAATGCAAGCATTTTGTGAAAGTTTATCTTCTTCAGAGCTGGCAATGCTAAGGTCAGAAGAGGCACGCTTACTCGCAGGTATTGGCTAAAAAAGATTTTAAGAAGTGAAAAATTATCACTAGTCATCCAATGAAAATTAGACATACACATACACATATTGTGTAATCATGATCTCAAGATAACCAAACCAATTATTTTATCTATATGTGTAAAATCATGATGTAATCTCCTTATTCATAAAAGAAGAATTGAAAAATCTTCATATAATAACTAAGATAAAAACGGAAAGAAGGAGCAACCTTGCCATTCACATTGTGCATAGCCACTCCTTAATTAATCCTTAGACGCAATCACTCTGTCCTAGAAACTTGAAATCGACTCGACAGCAATAGGCTAGAAACTCCACTTCAACTGGAGAAGAGCGAATCTAATTAGCAATTCATAGCAAGAAAACGCTTGTCGAGAAGGCCATTCATCCATTCTGAATTATTTGAATAGATAACAAGGTCTGGGGCACGGACAACA